TCCTAATGCCACCCAATGAACTTTAAATTTTAATGTGAGTTTTTATGGGGGCCATTTGTACTCTAGCACAGGCGTAGCTCAGTTGATAGCCTGAAAAGGGAGCCTGTTGTCTGGTTTCCTTTGTGGCTGTATATAGGGATTAGTTTTCTCAGCTAATGTTCTCTTTCTAACCACTTGTGAGTTTGTTCTCCCTCTCTCATGTTCCTCTGCTTTACATATTTCCTGCCAGCTAGGTCTACTAGGTAGTGACTTCCAAACTTCATAGAGGGAAGGAATCTGGGAGCTGCCTCAAAGAGCCCATGTTCTCCAGTCCACAGCACCTCAACCTCACATCCACGCCTATCTCCTGCTCGTATTAGTGTTGGGCAACTATACTATGCCAGCAGAAGCCAAGTCACAGACAGACTCAAGTCTAAAAGAGAAATTATTTTCAAGAGAAAAGAACATTGATTCTTATCTACCCTCCCCCCCACTGTATTCTCCTGACCCTGGGGCAGGTTCAGCCTTAACACAGCCTTTTCTTTACTCCTGTTTGTCACATGACTCTGATTGGGGAGGGCCAGAGATGGAGAGAGTGACTCTCTTCAGTTTCTTATCAGAGTCAGTTAAATAGAAAATGAAGAGAGGAACACGCACAGAGATAGAGATACCGACTCCCCCAGCAAAGCCTGAGGAGACAGAAAGCAAGAGCATTTTTGCAGAAATGAGACAAAAGCCCTTGAAGGTATGTGCAGAGCAGGTCCTTACAGAGAGTAACAAAGCAGTCCTTTGTCTTCTGAAGGTATCCCGACTACTGGGTGTTTGCATGCCACCACCTCAAGTGCATGACTTTATTTACAATCTGATAGCATCACCACTGATGGTGATCTTCCATGCAAAGACCTCATGGTGCAGGGAGTGCTCTCTGTTGCCCATTCTGAATCAAACAGGAGAAACCTTGAGAGATCGTTCATTCATACGGCCAACATTTATTTAATGGACGAGGTCATCAACCTCCTGAAATTACAGCCTGATGGAGAGGCAAATATGCAGGTAGTGACAATTCAAGCGCAAAGGAGAGGTTCTTACGACTCTGGAGGTGAGGAAGGACTTCAAAGGAGGTGAGATTTCAAGGATGCATCTGGAGAGGTCTAAAGGAGCTAGCTAAGAGTCAGAAAGAACTGCATATGCCATGGGCTGGACATGAGATGGTATGAGCCATGTTTGAGAACTGTGAGTAGTTCTAAAGGGGTACGCAAGCTGGGAAGAGATGAGGCTGCAGGGTTAACTGGCCCAGAACATGAAAATCTTTGCAACCTATATTTATCCCTGTTTTTTTTTTTTTTTCTGTAGACTGCAAACATTATATGTATTACTGTTCTGCTTGTCACAGACTGGAACTGAGGAGAATATGAAAGTAGAAAAGAGATAACCTTGCACTGACTCTCAGACGAACTGGCTAGTAGGGTTGGCCCATGGCTGGCTTCTGTTCAAGTTGCTTTGTTTGGCTAGACTGTGCAAACAAATGGACTTTGCTGGTCATTTAACTTTGTCACAAACTAGAATCACCCAGGAAGAGTCTTAATTCCGAGTTCTCTATGTCTGGTTGGCCTGTGTATATGTCTGGGGAGAATTGTCTTGATTGATAGTTGATGTAGGAAGACCCAGCTCATGGCAGGCAGCATCCTTTCCTAGGCAGAGAGTCCTGAAGCATACTAGAGAGGAAAGAGCTAGCTGAGAGGAAGCAGGCAGGCAAAGATTCATGCATGGCATTTCTCACTTTTATCTTGACAGTGGATGCAAAGTTTTAAGTCCCTGCCATAACTTCCCTGAAATAATAAAGTGACCTGAAATTATAAGCCTCAAAATTTCTGTCTTCCCTAAGTTGCTTTTTTCTTACAGCAACAGAAATGAAGCCGGGATATTGACTTATACCAAACACCTACTTTGCTCTGGCACTCCAGAACTTGGACATGCCATAGGTTGCAGGTGCTCATAATACCAGATCCCTTCAAATCCAGACCTTGGGTGCTGAGTCGTTGAGAAATTTCCCTCAGATGGGATGCAGTGCATATGTGCTGCATTCCCACAGCTGGGGACGATAGATCTGGGTGGACCTTCATGAAGGAGAGATGTTAGGCTTCGGACACTGTGTTCCCAGAAGGCTCATGAATTGAATGATTGGTTTCCAACATGAAGCAGTATTTTGGGAGGTTGTGGAAGCTCTAGCAAATGAAGCCTCATGGGAGGAAGTAGGTCATTAGGAAGGGGCTCTTGGAGGTGTGTTACCTAAGCCTTGTCTTGTTGAGCTCTCTGCTACCTGATCAGCCATGATGTGAAAAGCCGCACGCTCCTGTCACCATGTTGCTCTTTCTAATTGTTTGGGGCCAAGTGATCATGGACTGATGTCTCTGGAATCAGAAGCCCAAATAAATCCTTCCTCCTTTAAGTTATTTCTGTCAGATATCTGGTCATAGAAATGAAGAACTGATGTAAGTGAAAAAAATGTAAGAAACTGGCCAGTGGATCGCTCCAGACTCCCCAACGTTCCTCTACTGATGTGTCCCCCTCATCACAGATCTGTGATAAATCGTAGTCATGAGTCCCTCCAGTGGGTTGTCTCACAGATGGGAGGTCTCGATGACTCCGACAGGTGTGGATATTTAGGTATAAGTATTTATTGAATTAATAAATGCAGCATCAACAGGTAGAAGTTTTTATCTAGGCATAGTGATACATCTGTAATCCCAGTCCTAAGGAGGAGGAGGCAAAGAAAATTATCGAACCAAAGTCATCCTGAGAACTGGAGTGGTGTTGTACACATTTAATTTTAGCTCCTGGGAGGTAGAGGCAGGAAGATTTCTGTGGGTTTGAGGACAGCCCGGTCTACAGAGCACATGCCAAGACCACACAGATTCTGTCTAAAAAAGCAAAAGTCATCCTGGGCCTTAAACAGAAGTATTAAAGTTCACATATGTTGTTCATATATAAATGAATAGTGTGTGTGTGTGTGTGTGTGTGTGTGTGTGTGTGTGTGTAGAAAGTGAGAAGTATCTGTGTATACCAGAACTTGTTTAATCACCATACTTCTCCAATTCACAAACTCTGTTTTAAATGATGCTGTTGTTTTTGCTATACTGGGAATTGAACCAAGGACTTTGTGCATGCTTGGCAAGCTTTCTACCACTGATCAACATCCACAATCCCTCTGAATCACTCTTGAGTTTAACCTTCTAGTGACAACCATGTGTCCATTTTGAGAAGTGTAGAAATAAGGAGTTCCCAGCTTCTAGGCAATTTCAAATCACACAGAAAGGATTTAAACAATGGTAGGATAACTTGGAATGTTTATAGCATAACAAGAACTACCACTTTCCTGTTCTTGATGAAGTGAAGAGATACTTAATTATCTAACCCCCGGGAAACTACATGAAACTGCATTATCATAGTGCAATACTGTAATGCAGATAGCTTCTCTTGCTACATTAAAAATGCATTAGTGATGACATACATGCATGAAAATGCTGTAATAAAGAAAGCCATTACTTCATATGCTAACTTAAAATAAATTAAAAAGTGCATTGGTATTTATGGCCTAGCAGCCACATATTAGGTACTTTCACATATTTTTTTTGTCAGAAAATTTTAACAATTGAAAGAAATTCCCTATCTTTTATTGAGCTCCAGGTGGCTTCTAAAGGAAATTGTAGCTTACCAGAAAAACCTTGGGTTACATAGGGCTTCACCTTCAGTTTCCAGAGTCCCTTGGAGTTCTGCTCTTGGACTGAGAGCCTGCTGAGCAGATGCTTCAGATAGACTCACAGCTCCATCTCGTCATCTCTGCCTCCATCTGGCCCAGGGAGAATGGCTCCTGACTCTCTCGTTAACCTTGGAGCCTTTTCTCTGCTTTAGAAGCACAGAACAGCACCCCTTAACCCTGGTTCAGTTTGCTTTTGTGTTGTGTATCTTGTCTAGTTGGAGAATATTTACAGCTCACAAGTAGACTCTAATATTTAAGGTCTGCTAACAGGCACAGTGGCTTCCCAGCAGCACGCCATTTACCACAGGGGTTTTCCTCAGGCTGCTGACAACTGTTTTTGCTCTTGCTTTGTTATCTCTCTCTCTTTTATTTTTCTGTTTCCCTTCTTTTGCCTATCATGTTAGAGCCTCCTGTTAGCTGACCATAAGTACTTACTGTAATATTCGTACACAGGGAGTTTAGTTTTCTATGCTCGTTTCATAATTCTGAAAGCAAATGAGATAATTTTTCATTGTATTTCTCTATTCACAACTGCTTAGCAGAAATTCCTTTTGTTCGTGTGAGCCTGCAATCTCTTACGTTTAGGCAGGAAAGCTACATTGTTTATTTGCTTGATTTTGTTCTTCTGGGTTACTTGCTAGGTCAGTTAAAGTATATTTTCTGTGTCTGATACGTCTTAGAATTGGTTAACTTCCAACAAATTTTAGTTTTAAGTGAAGCATGTTATTTATGTGTGCCTTCTGTTCAGAGACTTAATGCAGTGAGTGTTGTAAGATTTGCTGGAGTTGGCAACATCATTAGTTCGAGGACAAAGCTTCTAAGATCATACAGCTTATATGAATAAGAATGAGCCCCATAGGCTCCTAGTTTGAATGTGTGGTGCCCACTTGGTAGAGCTGTTTGAAAGGAGAAGGAGGAGTGGCCTTGTTGGAGGAGCTGTGTCACTGGGGCTGTGGACTTTTAAGTTTCAAAGTCCAGGCTATTCCCAGTTAGCTTCCTCTGCTTTCTGTTTGTGGTTTGAGATGTAAGCTCTTAGCTGTTACTCTAGCCACCATGCCTGGTGCTAGGTGCCATACTGCCCAGCTATGACGGACCCTTATTGCTCTGCACTCTGTTCCTTACATAAGTTGCCTTGGTCATAGTGTTTTATCACAACAGAGAAATAACGAAGACAGAGCTTAGCAATAGAGCATTTGATTATTTTTCCTTCCAGAGATAAGTGTACCCTCTACCTCATGACCTTTGGCATTCTCTATTTCAGACTTCCAGAGAGACGGTCTTTCAGAGCCTACACAGCTATTCTGTATTTTGATCCTCGGATGAGAATATTTATTCAAGCCAAAAGAGTTCAGACAAAGCACCTATGTTACTCTCTTTACAAACCCAGGTAACACGCTTCCTTTTGAATATTTTCTTGGAGGTTTTTACATACAAAATTGACAAAATGCCTCAGAGTCTCGAGATGGAGGCATTGATGGATGGTAAGCATTTCATATTGCTCTCAGGGAAGACTGAACACTGTAGGGAACATGCTAAGCTCGGTAAGTAAGGACCCTTGACAGGGATTGCTTGTTCACTGAAGCCCATTAGTTGTGATTGCTTCCATGCAGAGAACACAGTTGGGTGTGTTTTCTGTTTACATAGTATATTTGAACTATTAAGCTTCATACAGTGTTGTTACATACAATAATTTTCTCAGGATGGGCTTATATGACAGTGATACCATAGGATTTTAATGTTGTAAGGACACTCTATGGCTGATGATGACACAGTTCCCAGACTAGCATACAGTATCCCAGTCATCAAGCAATACATGACTTACATTTATGTATGGTATACATATAGAATGAGCAGACAAAAAAAATACCTGATCCATTTATTATATATATGTGTGTGTATTAAATGTCTTCTTTTTAGTTATTTTTATTTTGTTATTTTATGTGTATGGGTAGTTTGCCTGCATGCTTATCATGTACCACTTGCCTGCAGGACCCAATAAGGTCAGAAGAGGACATTGGATCCCCAGAACTGGAGTTAGAGATAGTTGTGAGCTGCCATATGGTTGCTGGGAATTGAACCAGAGACCTCTGGAAGAGCTTAGCCATTTCTCCAGTCCCTTACTTGATATATTTTAATTTAAAAATTAAGCTTGAATTGGTCTTTTCTTACTTTTGCTGTGTTTTCTGGGTGGTCATTAATTTGTACAAGAGATTAACATAATCTGGGAGTCAGACAGGAGTGGTGCAAAGAAGAGTAATTCTCACTTAAGGGATCTACCATCCCCTGGGGAAACAGTGCTCCCGTGCTGACTAAATATGTACTTTTTACCTATAGTATTTTCCACTATGATTCTTTGGGGTTTTGTTTTGTTTTAAATCATCATCAATGTTAGAGATAACACACAAAGCACAATCTTCTGGTTATTCTTTTTTCTAATCCAAATTATCACATTAACTTTCTATAAAAGACCTTCACCGTTTATTATGTTGTCAGAGTGTCACAAAAAATCAGCCTTTAGCCTGGGGCCTTAAAATTCCTCACAGAATGTGATATTAAAAATACAGATCACTTTGATGATTCTGTGCCCTCATTAAATACCAGTGGATTTCTCACAGGCTTTAATTTTGATTTCTGTTTATACTGAAAATCATCTTTTGAAAGTAAAGTGTGCACAGGCTAAGACCTCGTCAGGCTGTTCATTCCCTGGTAAATATCAGACAGTTGTTTCCTATGTATCGGTCCCATTCTTGTGGGAGGTCCAAGGGTATCCTGGATCAGTCAGCTAGTCTTTTCAAAGTATTCCTCTTAGTGAGTTTGGTTAAGAAAAATGTTCAAACCCTTGGAAAATGGATTTGTTTCCACTTTCCGAGGAAAACATAGTAAGCAAAGTTTTACAGCTTGAATTACTTTCTTAGAACAATTGCCCTTCCCATCCTAGTACATTTGCATTTACCTTCTGAAGTGACAGTCTTAGCTCTCTACCGTCAGGATGCAGGATCGTGCATATGTGTGTGTCCGTGTCACTAACTTCTTTCCCTCCTCATACTCTTAAATATTTTCATTAGTAACTTGATTCAAAAGGCAAGAGTGAATGCTGCTTCAATTCATAGTTGACTCTGGCCTAGTGGAGGTAGATGAGAAAAGCAATACCAGAAATAAGGTATGAAGGGTTGAAGTTCAGTAAGCAAACATGAGGCAAACTATTGGCAGATGACCTTTTAGATTTTTGAAACTCTACTATGCAAACATAGACCTGGTAGTGACTTACATGAAAAAGTGGATAGATCCTGTAATTAACCCATAATGCTGGTTTTATTTCATAGTGTGACATACTTGCTAAATATGGTTGTGGAGCTTTGTTGGAGAACAAGATAGTCAGAGAGCCAGTTATTCCTGCCTACAGAGAGACGTCCAGAGTTAGATCCTTTTGGAGGGATACATGCCAGAGAGACATATCTCTTTCATGGCTAATAGCTATCTGGAAGAGACCATTGTTAGGCCTGAGGATGGACGGGAGAACACTGCTGGCTGCAAATGTGAAAGGCTGCCATGCCTTTGATAGAATCCTGGGACGCAGACCGGGGACGCCTGAATAGAAGACAGGGTTAGTCCAGCCTGACACTGTTAGGCTGTTTTCACACTGAAGGGACACAATTTGACCTTTCCCCATCACTGCTTGTACAAGAATATTCTGAGAATCAGGTTGCAGGAGCCCTTATAGATTGGTGCCTTGCTTTCACCTAACCCTTGAGTGTGGGAGGTGGTGGGTGTTTGTTAGCCACGGGCTAAGAGGCCTGACCCAGGGCCTGCTCACATCCAGTGGCCTCAGATGAGCAAGTAGGACCCTAAGAGCTAGGGGGAGCACTCCCTGTCCTGCAGTGTATGTGTTACTATAGCTCCTCCCCCCCCCCCCCCCCCCCCGACTTCATTAGCAGGGAGGGGAAGTGCTTGCATGCTGGAAGGTTCCATCTCTGAAATGGAGATTGGAACAACTCATTCATCTATGACAATGTGACAACGGACAGATTTGACACCTTAAAACTTTAACACACACACAGAGTGTGTTTAAGTTGTCACAAAGAGTTCTAAAGCTGAAGTTGTAGACTAGTATGCAGACCGTCTGGGAATCAGGTCATTTCACTCAATTTTCGGTCTGTTATTGTAAATTAAGTACTAATGCAGGGTTGGTACCTCTAGTGCCTTTACTTTGTACAAAAAAAAAAAAAAAAAAAAAAAAAAATCCTTGACTAGTTCCATTCACATTCTTTGAAAAATTGCTTCATTGTTTAAACAATATCCCCTTAATTTCATTTTGATTCTAAAATATAATCTGACCTAAAATGAATGATTCAAACCAGATAAAGTATATGATTAGAATCTGATTTTTTAAAAAAGCAAATGATAATTTCAGGATACGGTCACCAGTAATTGTATGCCTTCAGACTTAGGTTTGCTGTTCTCTGAGTACAGTAGAGACTGATTTGAACTACACCAAGGTTATTATTTGAATGAGCAATATTCAGTATAAAAGAAACACGGGGGGGGGGACAGAATGATTATGACCTCACCTTAGATTTTAGGGGTGTTTCTTCTCAGTGGCCAATCTTAGCTTCTCTCAAAATGGATGTGGACGTTAGTAATGAGAGCTACAAGTTAGATCTTAGGATAAATGCCCACTGAAGCGCTGCAGGATGCCATTTGGTTTCACTGTTGCTGTGTATTTCGTTTCTATTGTGCTAGAGTGAGAGCCCAGTCCTCAGGGTAGTCTGAGTAAGGTTTCTCTCCTTGAGCCACATAGCTGTGTGTTAGGGTTTTTGTTGCCGTGAAAACAAGCAAACAAATAAACAAACAAACAAAAAATACCTTGACCAAAATCGAATTGGGCAGGAAAGGGATTATTTCATTTATAAATCCAAGTAGCCATCCGTCACTGGGGAAGTCAGGACAGGGACAGGAACTCAAACAGGGCACGGACCTGGGAGCAGGAGCTGATGTAGAAGCCATGGAGGATGCTGTTTCTGCCTAGCACTTCATGGCTTGCTCAGCCTGATTTCTTACAGCACCCAGGATTGCCAACCCAAGGGTGGCAACACCCACGTGGGCTGAGCCCTCCCACATCAACCACTAATTAAGCGAATTCTTGTAGGCTAGCTTGCCCAGACTTCAGGAGGCATTTTCTCCCTGAAGTTTCCCCTCTCAGATGACTACCTTGTGTCAAGGTGACAAAATACTAGCAAACACACAGTCCAAGCATTTAGTTACTTTTAAAGTACTTGCTTTTTCATGTTATTCCCTCATCAAGTTTCACAAAGTTTTCACATTATGAGAAGAAAAGCAGTTCATCTTATACTCCCCAGTATATTTCTTCTCCAAAGCATACACTAGCAGGATTAGACAATAAAAATTTGTACTGTGAACCAGCTTTGCTTTATGTTCTTTAATGTGTTAGAATTTTACTTCTTGCCACTGGGATTGGTACCATTACTATCATTCAACTATAAATGAAATGGGATTGCTACAGATGTGATGGGCTCAACTTTTCACGCCTATAAGGGGGACATATTGGCCTGAACCCAAGTAGAAAGACTCCAGGAAGACCAGTTTAGCATTTGATCATGAAGGTGTTTTGTCTTGTGTATGTGTGTACTGTATTTGCTTAGATAATAGAAGATAATCATCAATAAACCATAAACAGTCTCTAGCTACCAACCACTTAATTGATGTATGACCTGTTTGTATTAGCAATCAGTGAAGAATTTGCATGAGTGCTTACATTATTTGAAGTTATTGTGTAGTGCTGGAGAGATGTCTCAGTGGCTGGAGAGATGGCATAGTGGTAATAGCAATTGCTGCTGTACCAGGGGACCTGAGTTTAGCTCCAGACACTCATGGTGTGTGTGTGGAGGGGCTCACAACAGCTTGTTAACTAACTTCAGGAACTCTGACACCCTTTCTGGGCCTCTGCGTTCACCTGCACACATGTGACATATACATTGGCACGTACAAGGAAATAAAAACAAATCATTAAAAAAACTTTTTAAAAGTCAGAACATAAAAAAGCTTTTCTAGATGAGACCCTAATTTAAAGTCTGTTGCCAATGGGTGGCTGGGCTGTTTTTGTAGGAAGCATGTTAGTGAGTACATATACACGTTTGTATATTTTTTCCCTTTAATTCAAAACCCCTCAAAAATGGTGTAGTAGATGTAAGGCTGTCTTTCAAGAAGCCATTGGGCTGTAGTTTGAACACCCTGGTGCCCACTTAGTGCAATGCCCACTTAGTGCAGAGGTGGACAATGATTGCCCTTGCAGGTTTACCCCTTCCAATGGTCATCTCCTCCAGGAACAGATTCACAGATGTGCTCAGAAGAAACATTTTACCAGCTCTCTGGGCAGCTTGTAGCCCAGTCTTGTTGACACTGGGAATTGCTGTCCCATGCTTTTGTCAATGTTGAGTGACTGATGAACTCCTGAGTCAATAGAGTGTGAAGTCAAAGCATGGAGTGAGGCTTACAGTGCTTTGGGCTTTCTCAAGCCTACTGTTTTAGAATGTTTCTTCCTATGACAGTTTAAACCAAAATCTAAGAGCCAGGTTTCATGGCTCCTCTATAAATGTCTGTAGCTTTAACGACATCAGGGCAAGCACACCAGGGTGACCTAGTCCACAAAGCTTTTCCTCTTTGAGGTTTTGTTTTGTTTTTTGGTTTATTTATTTTTTTCGAGACAGGGTTTCTTTGTGTAGCTTTGTAGACCAGGCTAGCCTTGAACTCACAGACTTCTGCCTGCCTCTGCCTCCTGAGTGCTGAAATTAAAGGCAGGCGCCACCACCAACCCAGATCCTCTTTGAGTTTTTTTTAAATTAGCATATATTATTTGTAATGATAATGGATTTCATTAGGACATCTTCATACATGAACATGATGTATTTGAGTCTTATTACTTTCTCTTGTTCTCTGTTAATCCTCGTTCTCTTCCCAAGCAGCCCTTCCTACCTTTGTGTGTGTGTGTGTGTGTGTGTGTGCGCGCGTGTGTGCGTGCATATGTGTGTGCGTGCTTGTGTATGTGAGTGAATTTCATTAGGGTTATTTACAGGACCATGGGTAAGAACTTGTTTATACCACTGATTAAAATCTGTTTCCTGTCCTAGTTTTCTCTGTTGTTGCTGTGATAAAGCAACATCACCATGGGGAAGAAAGGGTTTATTTCATTCATACTTCTAGTGCACCCTGAAGGGAAGTCAGTGCAGGAACTGAAGACAGGAACCTGGAGGCAGGAACTGAAGCAGGGGCCAGGGAGGAAGGCTGCTTACTGGCTTGCTCAGCCTGCTTTTGTATACTAGCCAGGACCACTGCCCAGGGGTGGCACTAGCCACAGTGTTCTGGGCCCTCTGACATCAATCACTAGTCTAGAATATATACCACAGACATGATCACTCCTCCGTCAGCTGTTACCTGTGTATAGATCCCCAGGAAGGGGTGTGTCCCCACTTCCATGACAGGATGCCGCCGATGCATCTGATCTTGTGCAGGTCTTAGCATTTAACCACAGCTGCTTGCATTCAAGAGTGCAGCAGCTGTGCCATGCTCAGAAGTTAAGTTTTTACCCTTTTCCTCCACTCTGTTTCTTTTGTGCTTACACTCTTTCTGATTCTTCTGCACTGTTCCTTGAGTTTTGGAGATAGGGTTTTAGATGGGCTATTTGTGTCTTGTCATTCAAAGTTATTTATTCTCTGTGCTTTGACAAGTTATGAGTTTCTGTGGTCTCTGCTGACTACTGCAGAAAAGCTTCTTTGGCCAAAGCAGACAGTAACGCTATTCTGTGAGCATAAACATAGCTATTTAGAAGACAGTTTGACAGGCGCTTTGTGTCCATTTAGTAAAATAACAACAGCAGCTCCCCCATTAGGGCTTATGACTGCTCCGAGCTGTAGGCTTTTGGCCAGGGTTATGCTGCTGGATGTGAATTCTCTAACATGGAGCTGTCATCAAGTCCAGTAAGAAAGGAGTTAGTTACTCCCATAACAGAGTCGCCACTGTGGCACTCATCCTGCTTGGCTGGAGTCCACAGCTGTGTGACTATCAGTGATCATTTTTCCCAGAAGCCTGCATAACACCTGCCAGCATATTGAAGGCTAGCCAGCAGGGAGGAAGTTTCCAGACCAGTTCCAGCTTTCTTGAGGCCCTGTAACTGTAGCATGGATCATCTTTAGCAGTAGGGTCTAAGCAACTTGTTTTTGCAGGAAACCAACAGCAGGAACAATTGCCTATATTCTTTTGAGGGTCTCTGGACCCTCCTTGATTAACAGCTGTTGGGAAGGCGCCCCTCAACTTCAGTTTTACCCGTTTTGTTTTCCTTGAGTTCATAGACATATTGGTATATGGTATTTCTTTTTCTTTGATTATTCTAGAATCTACTTGCCATTCTGAAATAATTGACCTTAAAAATAGGATTCTCTACCCAGACAGCAGAAAGTGGGGCTGTTAGTAGGTCAAATGAATTTTTATGTGTTTTTCTGAGCATGCCAGGCATAGGTAATTGCTTGGGGACTGGAAGAAGTCATTTATCCAGTGCCAATGATGAATCAAGTGAGAGGGCTATGTATATTAGCCAGAAACTTTGACAATGGAACAGCTGGATGATCTTGTCTTCCCATTTTGAGAATTCTGTTTTATATGTGTAAGTGAACACATGTGTGGGAAGAGATTTTATCTCATTCTTGACTCTTAGTTTTGTGACTATGAATTTTCCTGAAGTAAAATTACCACACATTAAAAGGCAAGTGATTTTTAATAAACTATAAAGTCTGCTAATGCACAAGCTGGATGGAACTTAATCAATGAATATTTCTTAACAATTGCATATCTCTGGAGTATATAGTCTTACTGAAGAATATTCTTTTATTAATGTACTTTAAAATGATAATCTGATTTGATTATATTCTGTTCTTCTTTCCAGAAAGTACCAGTATGCTACCTCTTCTTTCAAAGGGAAGTTTAAAACTGAAGTTAAGGAGGCAGAAGAAGCAGTAAAAATAGGTATATTGGTTTTCTATATCCAATTATGGTTCACCCACTTGGAAAATGTTAACTGAGCACTTATTCTCAGGAAAACACTGCTCTAGGCATTGTGGGTACTGTCACTGTCAGTCAAATGTAGCTCTCATCTCTAGAACTTAAAGTGAACTCTGTATCTCTGATTTTATTATAATACAATTTAGTATCCTTTTTACATTTACCCACCACCCTGTGTGTACGTGCGTGCATGCGTGCGTGCGTGCGTGCGTGCGTGCGTGCGTGTGTGTGTGTGTGTGTGTCTGCGCGCATGCGAGTGTGTGCATGCATGTGTGTGTGTGCATGCACAGATCGGAGAACAAGTTTCAGGAGTCAGTTTTTTCCTTCCATGATATAGGTTCAGGGATCCAACTCCAGAGTGTCTAGCTTGGTGGCAGGCATGTTTACCTGCTAAGCCATCTCACTGAACTGTAATTTAGCATTTTTTTTGTACAAATCCTAGCCTTTATTTTTTTTTTGCCATTTTTAACTGAGCTATGCATAATTTAGCATCTTAAGTATGATTACTGTACTATATAGGGTTCCTATTCCTATGATGAAACACTGAAAGCAACTCTGGGAGGGTTTATTTCATCTACTTTTCCATGTAACAGTTCATCTTCAAAATCAGTGAGGGCAGGAACTCAACCAGGGAAGAAACCCGAGGAAGAAGCTGATGTAGAGGCTAAGGAGGATGTAGCTTACTGGCTTGCTACCATGGCTTCCTTAACCTGCTTTGTTATAGAACTTAGGACCACTAGAGTGGCTCTGTTCACAGTGGACTAGGTCCCCCACATCAACTACTAATTTAGGAAATGCCTTCCAGGCTTTCCTGAAGCCAGATCTTCTGGAGGCCTTTTCTTAGTTGAGCTTCCTACATCTCAGATAACTATAGCTTGTGCCTTGTTGACATAAAGCTAACCAGCACAGTCCCCAGCATATGATGAATTATTTGATATGTTAGAAACTCTGGCTGCCATGATGCTGTGTTAGTTCATGTTAAAGATGAACATTGTCTCTATTTGGGGAAGTCGATGTGCCCTTCCATTTGAATTTGCCTGGCTGGTCAGTGAGTGAGCTTTCTGGATTTGCTTGACTCTACCCCACAATGTTGGGCTTTCATAAACATGCAGTTTCCCCTGTTTTTTATGTTGGTGGTTGGGATTCAAACTCAGCTCCTCGTGCTACCAAAGAGAAGAGTTAAAATGGGTAAGATCTCTGAGAGGAACAGTTGATTTTTAGAATGTGGTCTCTGTGCCATCTACGATGGTCATGTCTACAAGTATAGAAAACACATGCTTAGAAATGGTTTGGAAGAATCTCTCTGTATGTTAATTGTTATGTTTCTGCTTCCAGCTGAATTCAGGTTTAAAGAACTGCAAGTCAAAGCAAACCAGCCCAACACAAATTCTTTGTCTCCTACCAAGGTATGACATGCCAAAAGTCATCCTCAATGGCAAGAAATGCCACTTTTTTTTCTTGGCACCAATGTCTCTGAGCATGTACTTTTTAAACTCAAATACAGACAAGCTCCAAAGATGGAGGCAATTTTAGCATAGGTAAGCAGATGAGGTGAGTGCAGAGAAGGGGAGGAAACCCAGAGAGACAGGAAAAGGCTGGGGTGAGTAAAGATGAACAGAATGTAGTGTGAATTTGGAGCAGGGAGAAAGAGATTTTGCACCAGTTTGTTTAAAATGAAAAGGAAAGCAATACACAAAAAAGAGGAAATAATGAAAAGATAGCAGAAAAATATCTAGCCTATGAAGCATCCTCAGAAATATCTATTCAAATTACAGCCCTCCATGGACCCAGATAAATGGGGAAAGCAAAAAGAGGGCTAATAAGCAATCCTTCTTCCCAGTTCTAGGAATCATAGACCATAATTATGAATATTAATCACAGTGTTTCCAGCTTACAAAGCTCTTTTCTTGTGAGTCTGTTTGCAGAGTTCATAAACAATCTCGATAATCCATGTAATGTGCCCATGAGTAAGGCACGTTATAAAGAACTATAATTATTAATTATAGCATACTGCAGTGAACAGAAAAAAGAATATCACTGCAAAATATGCACTGCAAGTCTGCTTTTCCCAAAACCGTGGCATAATGCTTCTACCATGGTGATTCATGAGACACTGTTTCTGTTTGCTTTCATGCAAGAGATGAGCAGGAGTGGGGAGGGCCATCACTGCCTTTCATTTTCTCTAACATTTTCTATAGATTAAATTAATAAATCTGTTCAATGGTTTGGCCTTAACTCTACGAGTCAGGGATGGGTCTAATAAAGTCTCTAGCCTGTCTGTCATGCAGAAGGGATGAAGACAGAGATGGATGTGTGTTAGTGCCTCAAGCAAAACAAAACCATAGCTTTCTCAACAGTCTTACATTCTTGCTTTCATTTTTAAGGAAAAAGTAAACCTCTATTATTATTATTATTATTATTATTATTATTTGTAATTTAAGCTTTTTTATTTTGTTTCTAAGAGCATCAGTGCCCTTTGCCTATGTGAGAGACACGGACTCTCGTGGGCCAGGGTCTTGCTTCTATCCCTGTGCCGAGTGCTCTGTGTGGAAGTGTGATCTTTCTTTGACCAACTTGCTTTATAGCTCTGAAGTGTCCTGGTTACTTTAGTGTAGAGAAGACAGCAAAGCAGAGTGACCTGAACTGTTGAAGTCTCCACATGCTTCCAAGCAGCTTAATATGAATTCTTGCACTCTATCACCCCCCCCCCCCCGTTTTTAACCTGAAAGGCAGTGGAAGTGGTGCTTTATGGGTGATGCAGCCATTAAAAGAGTGTGGCCATCAAGAGCTACCTTCAGTCATATGTAAAACGTGAAGCTCTTTCAATCTCGACATTTTTTTTTTTTTTTGTGTGTGTGTGTGTGTTTTCAAGACAGGGTTTCTTTGTGTAGCCTTTGCTGTCCTAGAACTATCTCTGTAGACCAGGCTGCCTTCAAACTCATGGAGATCTGCTTAACTCTACTTTCTAAGTGCTGAGATTAAAGGCAACAATGTCTATTGATTTTCAAAAATATTTATTAGCATATGTTATACATGATGAGTCTCATTATAACATTTGCACACATGCATATAATGCCTTTTGATCACATTCACCTCCTTACCCTCTTTTGTCCCCCTATGTCTCCTGCTGATCTCTTTCTCTTCCCGAATAGTCTCCTTAAAAGCCTATTCTTAGCTACGAGAACAGTAATAAGGGACTCTTCTTTTCAGCCTAATTAGAGGTAATGGAAATATATTAGAGATAAGGGGGTTTAAGCCAGTGCATTAGAATAAAAGAAAGACAGGCTGTTAATGGCTTTAGAGCACCCTAAAAGAAAAAAAACCCTGGGGAACTTTTGGGAAGTTATCAGTCTAGAATTAGATAAGGAGACATATTAGGAGGGATAATAACAAAAGTTATTACTACCCCCCACCCGAAATACGGCACATTGACTGCAAAATCTAGGATTCCTATTCTCTCAGACTAAAGTCAGATCCTATATGCTCTAAACCCTTTGACTAAATAAGGAGTAAAATGAGGGAATCTTAGAGTGTGTACAAAGAAAATGATAGATTTGGGCTTAGTGTGGAAACACTGGATTGTAACCTATTTCTGTGTCCGTTGAGTTCCTGCCATGTGAACTGCGTTAGGCAAGATGAGCTGTTACTGGTGGCCTGGCACCTTCAAAGAATGGGTATCAGCTCAGTTTGCGTCAATTCAGTGTCCTTACGTTTCTTCTCAACTGAAATGTCCTTCTCCAGGATGAATTACAGAAAGCTCGGGAAAATGTGGAGACAAAGCATAAATGTCTTCGAGAGAAACAGAGGTAAGGGTTAAGGCTATGTGTTTATAAGGACCTCCTGTGCTACGTCAAGTTCTTTCTAAGTGGGCAGATGATTTGATGGTTATAACAATTTCACTCTATTAGCATGTGATGTAGTATGATAATAAATCTTAATGTGATGAAACTTTCCAACCAAGACACACATTGCAAAACAGATAAAGTTTTTATTGACTGTTACATATATATACATCTATATAATGTTGAAGACAAGCCAGAAATCCTCTCAGAATTTGGCAGTTTAGATTTTGTGATGGTGTCTGTATGTAGAGACACAAGCAGGCAATCATAGGACAGCCTCACTGTCCCTCTGTCATCTGTCCTTTATGCTACACCAGTGGTTCTAACCCTTCCTATGCTGTGACACTTTAATACAGCTCCCCATGTTGTGGTGACACACAACGATAAAACTATTTCTGTTGCTACTTCATAACTTTAATATTGCTACTGTTATGAATGGCAATGTGAATATTTGTGTTTTCTGATGGTCTTAGGCAACCCATGTGAGAGTCATTGGACCCCAAAAGGAGTTGTGCCCCACCCATGGCTTTAGAGAGCTTAAAATTAAAAATGAGAAATGACACTTGAAGGAATGTGTCACTTATGTGTTTTTAAAATGATGTGGTGATACATATTGTTTATGGTCTAATAAAACTTGCATGGAGATCAGAATGCAAAGGTAGCTACAGCCATAGAAGCCAGACAATAGTGGCACACACCTTGAATCCCAGGATTCAGGAGACAGAGGCAGATGGATCTCTGCGAGTTCAAGGCCAACCAGGGCTACATGAAAGTGAACAGTCTAAAAGAGAAACAGAGCTCATGCCTTCATTATTTTTCAAAAAAGATTTGTTTATTTAATTTAATTATGTGTACATGTATTCCTATAGACCAGAAGAGAGCATCAGATCCCACTATGGATGGTGGTGAGCCACCATGGGGGGGGGGCTGGGAATTGAAGTCAGGACCTCTGGAAGAGCAGACAGTGCTTTTAACCTCTGAGCCATCTCTCCAGCCCCAAGTTCATACCTTTAATCCCAGCACTAGAGAGGTATATAAGATGGGAGCAGGGTGTCAGGGAAGGCATTCAGTCTTGAGCAGTTAGTCTCCAGCCATGTTGAGGACAGGATTGCCCCAGCCTCAGTAGAGTTAAGAACTCTCTGGTTACGTAGCTGCTTTGCTTTCCTGGCTTTCAGCTTGAATCTCAGTATCTGTCTCTGGATTTATATTACTTGTACTACAAAATAAAAAATGGCAGGGCTATCAAAAAACCAACTACTTATTTTTGTAAGTTTGACTGTTAGCAAGTTAAACAAAAAGAATCACTGCTATACAAACCAAGTCAGACTTTGAAGAGTGACAGCTTTGAGAAACTTCTTTTTTAGGGAATGATGGTTGGTTTTCAGCATGATTTTCGTCATATATTTATAACTTTAAATATAAGCTTGAAATGTTAATTATGCATATATCAAAACTAAATTTAAGATGTTATGCATTTACCAAAATTAACTAAATTTCACAGAAATTTCTGTTGAAAACTAAGATTTCTAGTCTTCAGAAAGAAAAATTTTGATAACTTGTTTTTAGCCATAGTGAAATGTATTAAAATTAACCAGTACTGACGATAATGGCAGTTGCCTTGAATGGTTTCATTGGAGAGTGCTAATTTTTAAATTAAAGTTAGCATACAAAGTAGTGGCATTATGCCTTGAAAATGCAGTGATTTCTCATTTTGTTTTAGAAAGAGTCTCACTATGTAGCCATGGCTGGAACTCACTTCGTGGACGAGGCTGGCCTTGGACCCATAGGGACCCATCAGCCTCTGATCCTCAAATGCTAGCATTAAAGATGTGCACTACCCCACCTGTGCTTTTTAGCTATGTAGACAATCAGACTGTCCCTCACCATAGAATGATGATGTCGGATCTTTTAGTGTTCTGTTTGGGGACCCCTTGCCCTGTCAGTATTCTAGTTTGTTGCAGAATTGGGATCTCCTAGTTAAGGATTTTGAGGAGAGCTTTGGTCTGTATATTAGTTATATACAGGCATTTAGCATGACATTGTGCATTAACCCATGTCAGCAGGTCGACCTGTGAGAACAGAGAAAAGATCCTATTTGTTGCCATTTGGGGGTGAGAAAGGAAGATTTGTTATACCTCTAATCATTCAATCATTCCCAGATTTATTTCTAAAATCATGTTGCAGTCTTCCCCATATCCCGTGTCTCTGCAGACATTTTTCCCAGCTGGCAGGTGTGACAGTGTTCGGGTAGCTCTGGTTACCTGGTTACTGTGAATGGAGCCAAGTCTGCTTCTCACATCCGGGTAGTTCCCACAGCTCCAGCAGCCTTCTTGCACCATGGCTGTCTTCATCACATTCTGACATTTCTCAGTTTTTGTTTTAACACTTAATAGAAAAGTCACAAAAATATAATGTAGAGGCATAGGGTAAAAAAAAAAAAAATCAAGAAATCAAACAAGCAAAAACCAGTAGTGCCTAGGCTATCTGCTGCCATGTAAATTCACTCTGTTAGCTTACCTTTATCTTTTGATAGTTGGCAAGTGTTAGAGAGAAAGCTAGAGAATACATTTTTTGGCACAGTGTAATCTACATAGGTTCTTTGGGAATTTGAGAACACATTGTAAGTAGGAAACACTTGCAGTGTCAAGAATTTTTAAAGAGCCAAGTTATTTTTAAGTAACAGTGTTGTGATGGGTTTTCTATATTGTCAACTAAGACTACATCTGGAATTATCTAAAACATAATCTGTAAGGTAACTTTTCTTAATTAATTTATTAGAGGTGGAAAGATCCACTTTTAATCCAGGTCTTTTGATGTGGAAAGCCATAACCTTCTGCGGATAGCCTCCATAAAGGACACGGAAGAAGGCAGCTTGCCCTCTTTGCTTGCTTGCTCTTGCCTTTACTGGCAAGACAATTCTTTCACTAGCATTAGAGCCTGCTTACTTGGGATTTCGACGCGCACTGAAGACCAGCTGAGACATCCAGTCTTGTGGACTGAACATCCACTGGACTCTTATCAGAAGTGTTCTAGAAGGACAGTAAGGATGACCTTTTAAGAGTATCTGGAACAGACTTTCTAATTTGCTAACATCTACAGTTACTGAAACCCCTCCTAGGAGCCCAGGGACTAGTGATAGCCCACGGGGGTGAACTGTTTTACGGAGTTAAGGAATCAAGTGCATTTGATTATCCTGATTCACCAGTTGTGACAGGCAAGGATTTGGTGACTGTATATAAAACAATTTGTGGAAAAACAAGGAAAATCATGATGCTGCTCGATTGCCTTTAGCATCTCTGGATAAATTGACAAAGGAGAAGCATGAGTCCTGTGCTAAAATCAAGCAACTTATTTCTTCTCAGAAAATGGTGAAGAACAATGAACTCAGTGGTAACAGTGACCAGGTCCAGATGTATGTGAACAGACTAAAGGTTTTTAAGGGAGCCCTACAAGAGAATCTTCTCGCCAGCAGCCACAGAGCTCAAGTTGTGGGAAATCAACGAGAAGCTATCATTATAAGACTCGCTGAATTACAATGAAAATTCAAGCCTCAGCCTCAGAGGGTGTCAGTGGTTAAAGTAAGGGCATTAATTGGTAAAAAATGGGATCCTGTAACTTGGGATAGAGAAGTATGGGAGGACCTACTGAGGCTGAGATCTTCGAATCCTCACGTTTTTAAGGATTCACTCACCCAAGTGAATAGTCTCTCCACCCTTAACAGAATATGTAACCTCCACCCCTGAAATACTCCCTTTTATATCTTTGACAAAGGAAATTCATCTCTGAAGGAGATGCCTGAGGAAGACAAGACCAGGGCCTGGTTTATTGCTGGTTGTACAGTTTCTGCAGGCACCACCCAGAAGTGGACAGCTGCAGGCAGCATTGCAGCCCCTTTCTGAGACAAGCCTGAAAGACTCTACCATATATTGGATGTTGATTCAGAGCATATTCTGCCTCCTGGGAACCCTCCCCCCAGCCCTCCAGGCTGTTACCACCTAATTGGTGCTGTAACTGTGTCTTCAAACATCCATTCCATCTTTCTGTCAGGACAGCTGTTTAAGGATGATGGGGAATACAGTCACACCAGCTGGATTCCATGACTGTGGGCCCACTGTTGCACTTCTCTGAGTATGAATGAGTTCCTTGTTCAGAAGCAATACTGTGTGGAGTATCATGATGTTGAATTAGGCTTTCTGTAAGTTTATGGATGGTTGTTTCAGCAGAAGCGTTATGTGCAGGAAAGACAAATCCATAACCAGAATAAGTGTCTACTCCAGTATGGGCAAAGCATGGTCCTTTCCATGGAGGGAGTGCCACCAGGTTGATGTGGTCACTGTGAAGAATGGTGCTACGTCTGGTGCTCAGTGCTTATCTCTGCTGTTGGCAGATCTGGCACTCAGCAGCAGCTGTAGCCAGGTCAGCCTTGGTAAGTGAAAGGCCATGTTGTTGAACCCATACATCTGTGTTACCATGGCCACTTTGTTCAGGGTCCATTGGGTAATGATAAGGGTGACTAGGGAAAGGGGTTGACTGCCCACAGAACAGGTCATTGTATCTACTTGATTGTTGAACTCTTCCTCAGCTGTCATCACCTTTGGATGAACATTTACATGGGGCACAAATATCTCCACCTCCTCCACTCTTTTGCACAGATCTATCCACATACATCTTCCCTAGATATCTCTCACCAGTTTTCCAATCATGTCTGTTCAAGTTCCTGTCTATCCAGACAATCCATTGACCACAGCATGTGACTCAGAGAACAATTGTACACCTGACCTTTTTTATTTTTCCAAACAGAATGTATGACCACGTGCACTGTCCACAGTTCTGCCCACTGTCGTATATCATGTTGGGCAGAATTATGACCTAGTTAAATACATATTTGTGATTTTGTTGGTGGGATAGTTGTATCACAATAGGTATGATTATTCTGGTTATTATTTTCATTTGAAAATTAATCATGACACAATGAGATATGATTGTGTGTCATGTTGACAAGGGGTGGACTTGTGATGGCTATTCTAGGTTGTCAACTTGATTATATCTTGAATTAACTAAAATCATAGCAGTAGTACACCTATGAGAGAATTTTTCTTACTAAATCATTTTAATTTGAAGACCCAGTTTCAAGCCTGATATTTCGAAGTGGGAAAGTAGACTTTAGTCCAGATCTTTTGGCATGGGGAGAGCCATCATTTATCTGGGCCACACTTTTCACTGGCAGCCTTCATAAAGAACTAGGAAGAAGGAAAGTTGGCCAGTTTTCTCTCACTCTTGCTGGAAAATCCATTCCTTCACTGGCATTAAAGCCTATTTCTTTGGGATTGTGATGAATACTGTAGACTAGATGAGACATCCAGCATCATAGACTGAACAACTGCCAGATTCTTGTACCTTCATTGGTAGATATCCATTTCTGGGCTAGCTGGACCACAGCCTGTAATCTATTCTAATCATTCTATAAGTTATGTTCCTTCAAAGAACCCTGACTACTACAACTGTCACACATGTGTCAGACCAGAGAACATAGAGATCTTTCTGGTTCTTTTAGATTTAATGAGAAGATTTGTATTTGAATGAATGCTTGTCCTTGACCTGTAAAGTAATTTACATATACAGAATATTTGGCTATATGTAAATATTAGCTACATCCATTAGGTTTTATAAAATATCTGGCATGTTATAAGTCATTCTTTTGGTGCCTATGTTATGCATTTAATTATTACATGCTTTTATAAATTTTATATTTTGCCTTAATAGAGCACTTTTGAACTGCCTTTCTAAATTCAATTCTAGGGCATTAAGGAAAGCAAGAACACTCTCTCTGTTCTTTGGAGTGCACATAGAAGACCAAAACCAAGCTGGAATGTTCATTTACAGCAATAACCGGTTGATCAAAATGCATGAGAAGGTTGGCCCCCAGCTGAAAATGAAGTCCTTGTAAGTAAGCTTGTTTCTCGGTTCAGAGGCAGCACAGAGAAGCCACAGTCCATTCCTGTCTGTGCCACTAGATGAGTGATTCACCATAACACAAGCAGATGTCCCGTGTGCCACTCAATGCAAGAATTAATCAGCCCAGTTTATAATATCATGACCCTGTGTTCTGGCTCTCAGAAGAAAAGCATTTTGGGAAAAATACTGTTTCCAATGTATTTCCTTTTGCCTTTCAATCCCTTATGCCATATTTTCAGGTTTCTAACATTTTAACAACTAAAAAATTAATACAAATTAAAGGAATGTTAACAGAGGGGGAAAAGTCCAAACTCCAATTTTTTTTTAGGGACCCCTATTACAGATTTTGCAGTGCTTGTCAGTTACCTGCATGGATATGTATTAGTAAACATCTCCAGTGTGTTTAGATTCTGGTGCTAAACTACCATCAGTTGCTTTGACAGTTATGTGGAATTTTACAAAGACATCATAGAGGAATGGAGAGATGGTCCAGCTATTAAAGGCCAGTCTCACAACAAAAAAGACAGAAGACAGAGACACAGTAGAAAAGGATGGTCAAGATGTTCAGGAGTGGTGGGATGAGTCAGGGGGTTTGGTCTTCCTGCTGCATTGTGCTCAGGGAACTAGCTCTTCATATGTTGCTCGGGCAGAAGTAGATATGTTGCTGTGTCATGTGCCTGGCTTGTGCTAAGCTCTGCAGACAGCGGGGTCAAGGGTACCATGAATGCACTTTAAAACTGTACCAGCAGTGGGAACAATATTTCTTTATTGTCAATTTTAAGGTTAACATGTAAAGTGGACCAGTTTCATCATGGCATCTCCATACATGTGTGCCATTATATTTTGTTTTCTTCCATCCTGTCCCCTCTCCCGTCCCCCCCCCCCAGTACCCTTTGCCATGCTTCCTTCCCCTTCCAGCTCACTCCCCACCACCACCTAGTGAGTCTGCCATTCTCCTTTCTTTCCTTTCTTTTTTTTTTCTTTTTGGTTTTTCGAGATAGGGTTTCTCTGTGGCTTTGGAGTCTGTCCTGGAACTAGCTCATATAGACCAGGCTGGTTTCAAACTCACAGAGATCCAACTGCCTCTGCCTCCTGAGTGCTGGGATTAAAGGTGTGTGCTACCACTGCCCAGTGGCCTTTCTTCTTTCTTATCATCTGTATTCTAGTACCCCTTCTGTTTCATGCTTTTCTTAAGATATCTTCCTTGCCTCTCATGACCCTTTTTCTCTCATCCTAGTACTAACCATGCCCAACCCTGCTTAGCTTCCGAGATCAGATGATATCGGACCCATTCAGGGTGATATGGCCGTAGACTCATGATCCCTTTTCTAGTTCTGTGACCTATAAATACATTCACATGTATACAACCATATATATGAATTTAAATTTTTAAAAATAGAGAATGTAGGAACTATTTGTTGTTCTTAGCCTGACTTCTCTTAGCATAATAGTTTCTGGTTGCATGGATTTTTTTCCTGTCTCTCTTTATGGCTGACATTTTCTTTATCCATTCATCTATTGATGGACAGCTAAGCTGACTCCATTTCCTGTTAGGTTGACTAGTATAGTAGTAAACATGGATGTATAAGCATCTCTGGGATATGTTGACAGCGACTTTTAGCTAGCTGCCCAAGAATGAAAGAGCTGGCTCTGCTTTTGATTTTGTAAGGAACCTCTGCATTGAATTCCATTATGGCTGCACAAGGTTGCATTTCTGCCAGCAGTGACTAAGGCGTCTTCTCTGTCCACATCCTTGTCAGCATTCATTGTCTTTTCCTTTTCTTGATGATGGGCCATTCTGACTGGAGTGAGATAAAATCTCAATGCAGGTTTAATTTCTATTTTCATGGTGACTAATGATGTTGGATGCCTTTTCAAATATGCCTTTGTTATTTGACTTTATTCTTTTCAGTTTCATTCATTCAGTTATTGACAGTGTGACTTGGTTTTATGGTGTTTAATTTTTGCACTTAATGTGTCCTGGATATCAATCCCCTGTCTGATATGTAACTGGCAAATATTTCTTTTGCCGTGTGATCTCTTTATACTCTTGTGATTGCTGCCTTTCCTGTGCAGAAGCTTTTTAATTTTATAATTCCACTTATAATCTTGGGGTTATTTCCCACGCTATTGGAACCCAATCAGAAAAATCCACTCCTGTGCTTATATTTTTGAGGATTTTTTTTCTCTGTTTCCCTCTAGCAGTTGTAAAGTCTCAGGCCTTAGAGTATGATCTTTGACCCATTTTTAATTAATTTTGAGGTCAAGGTGGGAGATATGGATAGAGTTTCAATCTTCTATCTGTGAAAATTCTAATTTCTGGCCATTATTTTTTTCTGCAACGTACATTTTTGACAGCTTTGCCATGACTTAGATGGCTGTGATTGTGTGAGCTTGTTTCTGGACCTCCATTCTATTCTTTTGGTCCACAGGTCTGTTTTCTATATTAGCACTATGGTGTTTCTGTGTTATCTGCAAGTAGGGATAGTTGAGTTCTTTTTTTTTTTTTTAATTTGTAGAATTATTTTTTTAAAACTTAGTTGGCTTTTTTTTTTTTTTTTTTTTTTTGCTTAAAATCTCAAGGTAGTTACCTTAGCAGTTGGTATTATTAAACCTCCTGTCTTTCAATCTTCTGACTGTTGGCCTTGGCATGCTGTTCAGGCATAAGTGCTAAAGCCCCTTCCTTGAGTACCTAAGTAAAATTGGCCCCTACTGTTACACCCTTCCATCACTTTTCATATAATTTGGCACCCATTTTATTTTCCTAAAACCACTTATCACCATGTGAAATGGTCTTGCACATATATCTATTTATTAATGCCATGCTGACCACCTGTCAGTGACTGAGAACCAGGAACCTTGTCTTTCTTGCTCTTGTCAAAGTTCCTAGTTTCTGGAACAGGTCCAGGTGCTAACTTTGAATAACTGTGTGAATGAATACATGGATAAACAAATAAAGAAGTGTTGTGTGAAAAGGGCAGAAAACTAAACAAGGAAGTCACGTTGGGCCTTCTGTGTGAGTCATATTTAGATTTACAGAATGAGGAATGAAGGGAGACAGGGTAGATGAAGAAAGTTGTGAAGCACAAAGCTGGCAGGGACCTCAACTTGGGAAAGTGTGACATGTTCTATAGCAAGAGCAGTGTTCTGTAACATGGGAGGCTTTACCCAAAATCTGGTGCTGTCAAGAATCAAAATATTTCAGGAGAATGTATATCCTGTGGCCCTAGAAAAGCATAAGAAAAGAACCAAGAAACCTTTGCATGTCAGGTTAACAATCAGATTCCTGCCATCGCCCTCTGAGCCTGCTATGTTCCCTTAGTAGAACTCAGTGGACATCCCAAGAACCACTGTAATAATAAGACATGTAACCTGTCAGATGAAATGGGGACAAAGAAAGTGGCTCTCTCTGTCCAATATAAGGCATAAGAGACCAGGCCATATCACTGCAAGAAGACACTGGTGGTGTTGGTGTTTTGCTAAAATTTGTTCCTTTCTATCGACCTGGACTCTCCATGTAAGTAAGAGTTTTGGAAAGAGTGTTGTCAGTGGATCAATGACCCACTGAGGTCATCAGAAATCACCATGGTTAATGAAAAATCTTTGAGATAGCTTAGTAACTTTGATATGGTCCATACCAAGGCAATGGATTTATTTGTGGAAGATTTGATTGCAAGTGATCAGTAAATGTTTGCCTTTCCTTTTTCTTTAGCCAGATTTTATAAATTTCATAAATATATTTGCTCCCTCAGACTTGGTGCAGGTGTGATTGGAATTGTGAACATCCCCTTGGAGATCATGGAGCCATCCCACAATAAACAAGAATTCCTCAATGTCCAGGCATATAACCATCTACTAAAAGGAATGGGACAGTACTTAGTGCAGTACTGTAAGGACACCGGGATCAGTGAGTATTCCATGGTCATTGTAAGAGATACTTTAAGAGGGCTCAACATGTGATTCTTTTCAGCTGTAAAGATTACATTGATTCAAATAACCAGTAACCCAAAGCTATGGCAAAAGGGCTTCTGCATCAAAAACATAAGAGAAAGACTGACTGGGGGTGTGGCTCAGTGATAAACCCTTATTTAGCTATGAATTCCATCCTCAGCAGTCCAAAATCCAAGTAAGTAGAAGTGAAAAGGCAGCCAGTTTCATTATCTTCCCCCGGGTATCATATGAAAAACAAAGCATTGGGTGGTCATTGTGGCTCACACCTTTAGCACTTGGGCTGTAGAGGCAAGTGGATCTCTCTGAGATCCAGTCCAGCCTAGTCTACACAGGGAGTTGCTGGCCACCCATGGCTACATAGTGAGACCCTGCCTCACATACACACACGGACACATGCAGACTCTCCCACACATAGAGACACACATGCACATGAAATCAGACTAGAAATTGCAAGAGGATGGCCATCAGTGTGCTGTGGTAGCAAATCATGGCAAAGGAAGGCAGAAGACAGCTCCAAAGAAACTGAGAAACCCTCCAAGGGTACCTGGAGGCTCCATTGTCTGGGAGCACATAATCCCACAATAGACCTGAGAATCCTTTGCCATCTCATACCATGGAATAATATGTATCAACCTGTGTGACTGTAGATATGTCAAATGGCATTATGTAACTTTAATACTTGCTGAGAATACTAATACTGCAAACATTTCAATTGAAAATAAATGTTTGGAAACTTAAAAGGTACACACAATCATCTGGAAAATTTCATGTGTTATCACCTCACTTCCCAGGGATATTTGAACAGTGACCTGTTGTCCTATGTGTTAATTACACAAACACTTTCTAAGTTAGGCAGACATAGCACTTTATTTATGAAAAGGAAACATGTTAGCTACTATGAATCTGTTCAGTGATGGGTTTGAAGTATATATAATACGAGGGTATCAAAATCATCTTCTACTCTTGGGACAACTTAAGAAGTCATTATCTCTCTACTTGAAGTAAAGTGTTTTCTACTTTTTAGAGTGTTTTCTTGTGTACTCACTATGATTGCACTGAAAATTCCTCACCAGTGACATAGGGAAGGATGTAGGAATTCATAGGGCAGCAGAGGTCAATGGTACCCTACCAAGGGTGTGCTTAGTGTCATAGTCTATCTGTGTTGTGATCTATGGACAAGCAGCATCCATATCATATGTATCCCTTTCTCAAAGACATATTTGAAGTTCTGTTAGGTACAGGGATTACTACACTGTTGACAGGTTCTACTGAATGCTGTAGAAAACATAGAAAGATATAAATACAAATGTAATCACCAGCATAAATGGAGTGAAATAGAAGTCAAGCATGTGCTCCATGGATTTCAAGTGTTAACACCATGCAGAATGAAAGCAGTGAGTATTTGAAATTGTGGGGCTCTTGTTCTCTTCATATCCTCTCAGTAGTACAGCCCCCAGCCTCCTAGCTGTGCAGTAAGGAGTGAAGGTCTCAGAAAGAGCTAGCATGTATTGAAAGGTTATAGAGCTATCTCCGCCAGCATATGTGGGGTGTTCTGGTTCTGTGTGTGTGGCGTTCCCTCCACTCTGTGGCCTGGTGTGTGCTCTGAGAAGTCCTGTTCTTCTGTCTTGCTGTCATTTGCCACCTCTCCTTATCACCTCAGTTATTCCCTGTCCCTATTCTATCTGCCTCCCTCCCACTTTCCTTCAAAATCCTTTCAAGTGTTATAATATGGCTCAAAATAATGTTTCTGTTTCTATTGATTAGTTAATGGCATTATTTTTCTAATTTTATAATAGTCCGAATTAATTTAGGGATAGAGAATGCTTTTATAAGAAAGAAAGAAAGGAAGGAAGGAAGAAAGAAAGAAAGAAAGAAAGAAAGAAAGAAAGAAAGAAAGAAAAAGAAAAAAAGCTTCCTCCTGGAAAGAAGATGGAACAGGAGATAGCCAAAATAGGCAGTAGTTTTTGTATTACGTAGTCCTCTAAATTCCATTGTAAATTTGGAAGTCAGTCACCAAGGTCTGACCTGATAGTTTCAGTAACTTATGAGCACACTGACCTTCACTAGATTAGCAAAAGTCACATAATGCTTGACTAATACTCTTAGTCAGTGCAACATGGCACACGATTTTAATGAAAAGTATTTGAGAGGGGGTTTTTCCCCTGATAAATAAAAGATGAAATATTTGTATTTGCTATAAATATGTTCCTATGGAAAACTGGGCCCTTGTGAAAGATTCAAATCAACAGAAAGAGAAATGCAGAGGGAATGACTTTGTGTCATTTACCAAATCTGCATTTACTTTTGGCACAGTGGATTCTACGGATATAAAAGGAAATAGTTTTCTCCAAGGCTGACCTCACCTCTCTGTTGGCTACTGTTTCTTGAAGTCTTCTATATCCTAACAGTGCTATTGTTACTCGTCAGCTTTGAGGATTAGGGAGAGAGGAAGATAGGATTCATGGGGTGAAACATCAAGTGAAATGTGAGGTTGGATAGAATCTGTTACATAGAAATGTGTTATTACCTCTCTAAAGTAGATCAGAATGGGCTGATTGCTAACAATCTATGATGTGATAAACAGTCTTTGCAAACAAAATTCAATACATTCTAAGTTAACAGAGAACCCGAAAATTGCGTTGTCTAGTCACATTCATCTCCTCAGTCTCACTGTTACTTAACCCGAGATATGACCTCGACAGAAGCCAGCATGCTACTTCTTCAGGCTGCCTGTGAATCTCAGTGTCAAAGTATTTGAAATGTCTTCATAGTTTTTCATCTTTTTTGTGTTTATTCTCATTCAATCTTCCATGGTAGGGTTGACCATTCTAGAGCTGAGCAAACAAACATTGTTTACTCTTGTCTCGTAACTTCTAATCTAATAGGTCACTGTGGTCTGAATATTGTGTCCACTCCACATTAATAAGTTGAAACCCTGACTCCCCAAGAGGATGGGGTTGGGAAGAAGGCACTTTGGGAAGCTTTAGTGTCATGAGAGCAGAGACCCCAGGATTAGGATTATTATAAAAAAGGAGCAAGTGACAGGAGAATGAGAAGGCACCATTCCTGGACCAGGAGGTGAGCCCGCAGTTACAAATCTGTCAGTGTGTTGTTCTTGGACTTGGCAGCCTTCAACACTGAGAGGAACAAATTTCCAATATGTAGAAGTCACCCAGTCTATGCAACTGCTCTGTCAAACAATTAGAAACAGAATTGTTGCCTAGTACAGAAGAATAAAAAGGGAAGCCAGAGCCAATGTCTGGCAAGTTTCAGTCTTTGGGCTAGGAATTGCTTCCCTCGAGAAGTGATATTTCTCAAGGACAAATAAGAGTGAACAGGCTAAATTGACTCTTCCCACATGAGCCGTGGGGGATAGGCTTAAAGTCTTGTCACTTGTCAGCCATTAAGATCCTTGAAGGCAAGTCACATCTCTCTTTTCAGCCTTGTTTTGCCTTGACTTTGTTATTCTTCATGTGGACCAAACTCAATAGTTGTATCATTCTGGCACTTACACTGTGAAGTACCACCAGGAAGAAAATGTTCTAGAAAAGACATGCACAGCCTTGACTGAAGTATGGTCATCCCATTCTTTGAAGTGGTTAATGTAGTCTCAGTGCATCTTGATAATACACCAACTACTGGTAAGCCCATTCATTTATCGCTAACTAAAAAATTTTAATGTGAGTTCGTATATAAACCCAGAGTTATCTATACTTTTACCTTTCTGAAAGTAAGCATTTTTTAGTGCCTAGTGTACAGTTGTACATGTACTACAGGTAAATTTTATCACCTTCCTTGGCCCCATTCACTCGAGTTGTCAGGGTTTTATCTATTGCTGACTTATAGCTGGAGCATCATCTTAACAATATTTGTGTAAAGTAAATGTTCTCTGTGATTTCATGTAAATCTTCTTGCATATGATGGAGAAAGACAAGCATTAAGGCCTTTACTGATGGTCTCCATTGAGGTGGAAATGGATATGTGGGGCACTGGCTTCAATTACAAATTTTCATAATTAGGTTGTGATATAAATCATATCAATTTCCAAACTTCTGCATAATTTTGAAAGTGAAGTTTAATATTCTTAGGGTGAACATTTTCTTAAAACATAGATAATACTCTCTTACCTGGGTATAGCTGTCACTATTGATGCAATTTAGTTTCTGAGATGTTGGAACCTCACTACAAGGAAAATGAACTGCTTTACCCTTCTGGGACATGTGGAGTGAGGAGGCCTGTGTAAACAGAAAGGTGAAAACATGAGACAAGTTTAAGATCCAAGCCAAGAAATGATTCATATCTTTGGAATTTTACTTTATGAATTTATGAGATTTATATATTTATTTTGACTTTATTATACATATTTTATTTGATGAATATCTTTAATTTTTATTATACCACTGTGGTTTAAATTGTGTCCTTCTGAAATTCATATTTTGAAGCCTTCCTCCTAGTACTTGAGGTTGTGACTGTTTTTGAAGATAGAGCCTTTAAAGAAATACTTAGGTTAAGATGGAATTGTTAGCATGGACTCTATTCCAACAGGCACAGAGTCTTTGTAAGAAGTTTAGCCACACAAAGAGACTCCAGGGACAGACACAGTAAAAGAAAAGACTGGGAGAAAACACCAGAAGGTGATCATCTGCAAAAAGGCAGAGACCACAGGGACAGAGGCCGTGGAACAATGCATCAAGAAAGTGGCCTTCTGCAAGTAAGGCAGGGTACCTCAGAAGGGAGTGAGAACACATTGTTTAGCGGCCAGTCTGTGAGTCCCAGCAGCTATGGGAGGGCAAAGAAAATCAGGAGAATTTCAAAATCAGAATAAGGATAATTATATGGAAATGCATAAACCTCTCATTTAGCTTGACAATGGTCAACTGGTAGGGAAATTAATTTCTACTTTCCTCTCTTCCACCATTTGGATTGTGAAAGGCATAATTGGAGAAATTCTGTAAT